AGCAATATTCTGTCTCAATAAATAAATAAATAAATAAATAAATAAATCTCTGCCAATAGTCATCTTTGTGAAAAATACAAAAGTATGGAGCATTTAGTAATCTGCCCACAAATCAGAGTAAATTTGGTTAATAACAGAAATAGACCTCCTTTCCACTAGATGCAATAACTTTATTAATAGCTTCTCTCTACAAAGTTGTGGCCAATGTTTGTGGCCAATGTTTGTTTTCTTTATAATCTAATCTAGGTATTAAAAATTACTTCCTATTCAGGTAATAGCATATTTTACAATATACATTTAGATAAGGAAGAAATTAAGATTTTAAAAATGAAGTAGAATATGAAATTACAACCAGGGTAATTAAGGTCTCTAAGGTCTTTCTTTGGTCTCCAAAGAGGGTTTAATCTCATTATTAAAAGTAATATTGAAGCGGGCATTGTCATCGTACAGTAAAATGGTCAGCTCTATGGAAGAAATGCATGAATCAAGAGTTTATACTAAAAGAATCGTAACAGAAACAACCTTCCTTCTATTTGTATTGTACTAATCATAAAAATAAGGTATTATTGACTATCCTTTCTCTTTTCCACCATCTTCTTTTTTAAACAAATTAAAATTTCCCATTATAGTCTCAAGTTTCTGCTAATGAATTATCATGTCAGTTGTCACTCAATTATCACTTTCAACATTTAATCTAAATTATGTTCAGCACCTTTTTTCTTTCTTTGAAGTTCTTCCTTGAATTTAAAAGTCAAATATTTTTCAAGAAGAGTAAGTTGATGGAAGATGGAGGCAAAGATTAAATCAGGGGAAATCATTGATCAAGGATGCTTAGAATTCTTATGAATACAAATAGGCTATCAAGGTTAATGAGGTTCAACTTGAGTTTAGAAGAAGGGAAAAGTGTACTTAGTATTTTCTATGCATATACAGATTTAAGGCCTTAGGTACAATTTAAAAGGTAAATTATGCAAACTCAAATGTAGCTTCCTTCCATTGTTTTTTTAAGAGCCATTTTTACTGTTTTTCTCTAATGTAAAACAACTGCTTGAAATACATATTCTGGATCAACAAAAACTAATGCAATTAGTAAGATATAGATAGCAAAGGTCCTGTTAAATACTGACAAATCTTCCAGAAATGGATGTGCTTTTAAGAAATGACTAGAGAGCAAATATTAGCTTTAAAAAAAACCATAAACTTTTTACAACATATTATTTCATTCAACAAATACTAACTAAGTACCTAGTATAGGTAAGACTGTGTGGGAACACACAAGGACACAGAGATAAAACTTGGTTCTTAACCCGTTTATAATCTGAACAGGAATAGAAGCTTTAAATTCATAAGTGGCTCCCAGAATGCCACAACTCTGAATTATAACATCAGTGCATACTAGTAAGTGGCCCAGAGCAAAATCTGTGCATGGCAACATATCAAAAGAAAAATTAAACATTAGACTGAGCATCAGAGTGAAAGCATAGAAGATTGCTGGAATGAGAAGAGATGCCAGTTCAACACACTCCAGAAATAAAGACACAGAATCTAGCTGAAGTAAACAGTATCTCTGGTTAGAAGGACTCTGTAAAAAGGGAGGTGGGAGGTTGAGAAGTTCTACTATAACTGATTGGTGCCCTGCATAAGAGAATAATGTTTTCATATCCGTATAGGACTCCCACACGGTAAATCAGTGAAGTGGTACTCTTTTGTATATTACGTCAGTGCAAAAGTAATCTCGGTTTTTGCAATTACTTTTGCACTGACCTATACTTCTCTCTTCTGAGTTTCACTGTTAATATGAGCCAGTTTCCTGGGTCACACACAGAAGACTCAAGTTTCCAGATATGAGGACAAGACCTTGAAACATGATGTCTCCACCAAGGTAAGGGCACCAAAGTTCACTCTGTCTTGGTGACAGTGCAGCTGGCTTTTTTCTGAGTCTCCTTTTCTACTTTATTTTGGCCCACTTTGCATTTTTATTTTTTATTATTATCATTTTTGAGATGGCATCTCTGTCACCCATCCTGGAGTGCAGTGATGCAGTCTCGGCTCACTGCAACCTCCGCCCCCAGGTTCAAGCAATTCTCCTGCCTCAGCCTCCCAAGTAGCTAGGATTACAGGCACCTGCCACCACACCTGACTAATTTTTGTATCTTTAGTGGAGATGGGGTTTCACCATGTTGTCCAGGCTTGTCTCGAACTCCTGACCTCAGATGATCCACCTGCCTTGGCCTCCCAAAGTTCTGGGATTACAGGCATGAGCCACCATGCCTGGCCCCACTTTGAAATGTCTAACAAAACATACCCAGATTACTTCAAGAGACTATGAGAAAGGTGCCATAAGTATATTAGTGATATGGACAAAAGGATTATTCAGAAAGAATAACGATCACTTACAGCTGATATAATCCAAAAAGGCTTCATGGTGGAAAAAGTTTAGGATTTCCACAAAAAGAAAAGACATGCAAAGTTGTTCACAGAAACAATGAACAACTGGAACAAAGGAAAAAAAAATGGTGGAACTGAGTAGGGAAGTTTAAGAAAAAAGGAATTATTTGACAATACCACATATGAGGTTCTGTAGGAGAGGTATCAGAAAATGAAGGTTAAAAAGAAAGACATTAATGATTGAATAAGTCATAAGAACTGTTACTATATATATGTTCTTGGGCCTGACCAATGATCTCATTTTGTGCATCTTTTTTATTCATATTTGGTCTGTGAAAAGCAACTAAAGAAGAGTAATCTCTCTTTTTTAATAGAATGTATAAGGCAACATCTTCATACTACCCAATATTCTCTAAAAATAAAGCAGAGACTAAATTTCAAGAAAAAATTTCAATTGTTAGAGGTTACAATCAAGTAATCTATGACCTAATATCTCACAAAGTCTGCATGAGACATCACTTTGAGAATAGCTTGGGAACAAAGATATTCAAATGGCCTCCAAAAGGTGCCATAAGAACATTAGTGATACGGACAGCACACTTGTTCTACCTTAATAGTTCTTTTATAATGAAAAACAAAGCATAATCAGAAGTGTCACTAAATCAGAAACAGTTGCAAATTTAGTTAACTATTTCATTCTTCGAAACAAGAAAATCAGAAAAAATAAGACTAGTTAATGTTAATGTCTTACAGGGATAAACACTGTCTTTGTGATGTCCTTTGCAATGGCAACTGGAAAAAAAAAAACTTTCATTCTCAAAAAGAAATTTATTCTTAGAAGCAAGACAAACTCAAAGAACTTTCTGCATCAATTTTATTTTTATTTACTTATTTTTTAGAGACAGAGTCTTACTATATCGCCTAGGCTGGAATGCAGTGGCACAATCACAGCTCGCTGGAGCCTTGAACTCCTGGCTCAAGCAATCCTCTCACCTCATTCTCCTGAGTAGCCGAGACTACAGGCACAAGCCACTGCTCCCAGCCTGCATCAATTTTAGATCCACTGTGAGAAACAAGGAATCGGCTGCATTTGTGTTCTTTGCTATGTTGCTAGCACCTACAACAGTGTCTGGCATGTAACAGGCAGTCAGTAATATTTGATGTGTTGTAAAAAACCTTTCCTCCAGTTGTTTTTCACACCCAAACTCTATACAACCAAACCAAACTAACCCAAGAGGACTCAAATTCTTCCCCTAACCTATATGAAATTGAAAAAAGAACTATTCAGTTAGAACAAGGAGAAAGCCAGGAATCTTGAATAAGAGCATTATTAGGCTATTATAAATAATTTTTTTAGTGCTCACATATTTGAGATTTTTTTCCAATTTATACCACGATGGCAAGTGAAAAGAAACAATATGAAGGAAGGAAAGAAGGGAGGGAGGACCAACGTGTGGTTATGAACATAAAGCAAAGGGATTTTTCTACCTTTTAGATCTAACCAGCATAGTTTTTTTTTTTTAATACGTGACTTCAGCAAAATAATCATATTTTAGCATTTTCATCAGCAAGATCAAGGGCTAAAATAATACCCATGAAGAAAACTTTAAAAGTTGTATAATTACCATTGCTCTGAGACAATTTCAAGTAAGTCTTTATTAAACATGTAGAGGGCTTTGTAAAGAGTATGTCAATATTTCATTATCTTTACAATCTGGATCTTGAACTAAATTTAAAAGACATTTTCTACTGATGTGCTGACAAGATGAAAGAGAAACGCAGACGAGTAACATTAAATATTTCCTTTGGGTTATATAAAATTAGGTGCTTTTAACACCAATTTTCTACCTTTCATTTTAATTTTGGAAATACTTCAAATTAGAATACAACTTCACTCATAAAAACAGATACAGGGATGACTGATACATATCTATTTCCAAATGTGTCATCCATGTTTAATCTAATATAATTGTAATTTGAATTAAACCATTTCCTTTTATGAGGTCCTTTCCTTTGATTTTTAATATATACCAATAATTACCTCATCTATGCTAGATAAAAGCAGGAAATGGTAGCTGCCTAGTTATACTTCATTCATGGTTACCACATCATCCATGATTGCTACACAACTCTAAATTAATGGAGGCATCGCAATTCCACCTCATGCACAACAACTAGAGCTCTGAAAACCTTTATGGTTCCAAAGAAGAATTATCAGTAACACCTTTTCACTATGCATTATGCAAGTTTCACCCACAAAATAAATAATAATTCACTGTTCTCTCAAAGAAAAAATGTCCCTTCTGTCTGTAGAAAGGGTTCAATTGCTATTAGAACAAAAATATTTTCAAATTTAAAAATAGTCAAGGATTTCCCTGTGAAATAATAAAGGAAAATAATCCAGGTTCCTAGCTTTGGGGTCCTGAATGAAAGAGAAATGAATACATAGGAATTTCTACATATAAGTAAATTAGCCATTAATGTAACTTTATATTATCAATGCTCAAACTAGAGTTCATAAAATAACACATCTTTATATTAAAATTTCATTACCCAATTCCATGAGATAAAATTAAAATACTTCAAATATGGCTTAAAAAGAGCAAAGTCACCTCTACTTGTGTTGCCAAATGTGCTTTCTCCTTGTCTTTTCTCTCCATGCACCGTTTCACTTCCTCTAACTCAGATGCCATTGCACTGAAGTTCAGCTGCACTCTCAAATCTGACATTTGCTTCTCGAGGTCCTGTTTTTCCCGCTCAACCCCTTAAAAGACAAAACGGAAGGCTCAACAGTTGTTCTTTATTCACAGAAGAATGTACTTTCAAATAGTACTGAGACCTGATGTTTCAATATTCTAGCTATCATAATCCACTTACTGACACTGTTATTCAACAGACTTTGCCAGCCTGTTGTTTCAAGTTTTATAACTTTCAAAAACATATACATTGCTATGTCATCAAATATTATTCCAGTTTGATACTAAAACTTAAAATGTTACCTGATTTCTACTGCAATTTATTTCAAGAAAATCATACACATTTTTAAATTTAATTTTCCTCACATCTCTACATTATCTCCAAACAGTAAAACAAAAATACAAAAAGTTTTCAACAAAGCCACTTCATCTACAAAATAATTTTCTTGCAACATAAACAACAAATGATGCTATTAAATCTCTGATTGTGTATGGCCAACCAATTTACTAATCCTTACTAATCTGGAGATTACTACCTGAAATTAATATATCATTTAACAATATAAGTTGACTTAGTATTTAAATCAGCGTGAAATACTTGATCTATGATACACAGGGGACCTTCTTCTAATATAAGGACAAATAATATAAAAATTCATCCTCAATGAGATTACATCCTGATGTAATTTGGCTCTGTCCCCACCCAAATCTCATCTTGAATTGTAGCTCCCATAATTCTCACATGTTGTGGGAAGGACCAAATGGGAGGCAATTGAATCATGGGAGCAGTTCTTTCCCATGCTGTTCTCGTGATAGTGAATAAGTCCCATGAGATCTGAGGGTTTTATAAAGGAGAGTTCCCCTACACAAACTCTCTTCCCTGCCACCATGTAAGACATGCCTTTGCTTCTCCTTTGCCTTCCATCATGATTGTGAGGCCTCCCCAGCCATGTGTTACTGTGAGTCCATTAAACCTCTTCCCTTTATAAATTACCCAGTCTCGAGTATGTCTTTATTAGCAGTATGAGAACAGACTAATACATATCCCAATAAGAGAGACAAAATATAAATTACTTTATGGAGTCTAAAATGTCAACAATTGGAACATGTACTGTCATTTAAAAACTACTATCTTTCTAGTGGTTTCCTTTCCAGAAAAAAAAAAAAAAGAAAGGAATGAAAGAAGAAAATACTAACAAATTAAATTTATACATCATTCGTAAAATACATTCCAACTTCAGAATACTAGTGTTCAAAATTGTATGTATTAGAAGGGAAAACATATGGGCATTTCAATAGCATGATAAGAGCATTGATAGATACATGTGGATTATACAGAAACAGTACAAACAGTAAAAGGGATTAGCTCTGTCTCAGTGAGGAACTAAGGTAGGAAGAACTGAGAACTAAGTCAGACTTAAAGAATGAACACAAAATTTCACCAAGCAAAGGAGAAGGAGTTGGGGTGTTTTTAGGGAAAGCACACACCTAGCATACAGGTACAAAACTGAATTTAACATTCAGGTAACTGCACACACAGTAGTTTTAAGTAGCCAATACATCTCATATGTTATGAGGGTGGGAAGGAGTGTCAACAGAGTTTATGTGTTGCTAGGAAACTTAGAATTTATCCTACAAACCAAGCATCAGCAAACATTTTCTATAAAGTATCAGATAACAAATATCTCAGCTGTATGATTTCTGTCACAACTACTCAATTCGACCATTGTATTGCAAAAGTAGCCTAGACATTGCATAAACAAATGGGCGTAGTTGTGTTCCAATAAAGTTTATTTACAGAAACAGGTGGCAGTCTGGATTTGGCCCATGAGCCCTACTTTCCCTACTTCTGATAGGTATCCAACCTACAAATGTACATATTTATCTATTTGTAAATATATTTGTTTATTTTATAAATATATGTATTTATAAAATACACATATAGTATACATAATGAAACATTTCCCAAAGTTAAAATATTTAAAACAAAAAGTATGAAATATAAACAGCATTACAAACACTCGATTTTAGAGAATGTTTGGTCAATATAGGATAGCAGTTAAGATCTCAAGTTTGGGGGAAAAAAAATTGGAGTCTGCTACTTCCCTCATGTGTGATCTTGGGCAAGTAACTCAACCTCCTTATTCTCGGGTCCTTTTTTAAATCATTAACATAGAAATAAGAAATAATAATAGTGTCCTTTAGTAGTAGAAAAGAAAATAGATTTCAGAGAGGCCAGAATAGGTAAGACAAGAGAGTGCTACGTGTCCTATACTGGCCCAAGCATGCTTAAACTGGGGGAGTGGGAATAAGAAAGAGAATGTTGCAAATTCAAGAGATATCAGGATGTATAAATAGGTGTGAGGTAGAAACTAATTATATGGAGGAGAGAATAAATAATTTCTATGTTCTTTGTATTTTAGACTTGGATGTCTGGATGGAAGATGATGCCATACACTGAGAAAGGAAAGGAAAAACATGTTTTGAGGAGACGATGAATTCAGCTGTGTATCAACATGCATTCTGAGAAACAGCATACAGAGATAACCAATGAGTAACTCTATCTGGAGGGCCAAAGGTTAGGAGAGCAAATAGAGCTAGATTTAGGAATTATCACCTATAGGTGATAATTTTTAATCAATTCCCAGGCAGAAATACTAAGTAACAAAAGCCATGAATAGGATAGTGGGCAAAATCAACATTTAAAAGACACAGTGAACAGAGCAAAAAGATTCCAATACAAAGAATGTAAATAACTAAGGCAGAAGAATTAGGAAAGGCAAGGAGCATGGAAGTCAGAGGAAGACTTTCAAGAAGGAAGAAGAAATAAGCAGGTAACAGTAAAATAAGTAATGAAATGATATCCTTGGAATTGACAGAGGAGATTGCTAGCAAACCATGCAAAGTCAATTTTACAAATAGAGGTGGAACCCATTTTGCAGTGGGCAGAGGAAGAAATACCAGCTGAAAATGTGGTAAGTATGATTTCTACTGTAGAACTGTCTTTAAATAATATAAGTATTCTGTAAAGAATGAAAAACTCTACAGTTGTTAAAAGGTGAAGAAGTCCATTATCACATATACAAAAAAACTTCCAAAATTTTTTTCGTACCTGATAAGTAGCTAAGAAAAGCTCAATATTTTAAGTCCTCAAAGACTTACAACAAAAATAATTACATTTTATGAGGTATCAAAACATACAACAAATGTGTTGGTCTTTTTTCCAACAATTCCCATGTGCATCTTTATGAAATTTGATGAAGAAGCTAACAGCTTAGGATTGTTTAAAAATAAGTGATATTCTGGGTCAAATGATACTTACATTATATCACACGAAACTTAAGGAAACTTAATGGCATACAAATAAAAATAAGCTAAGGTTTGGATACAGTTTATTTGTCCTCACCAAACCTCGTGGTGAAATATTATCCCAACTATGGCTGTTAGGAGATGGGGCCTAGTGGGAGGTGTTTGGGTCACAGAGACAGGTCCCTCATGAATGGCTTAGTGCCCTTATTGTAGTAGTGAGTTCGTTCTTGCTCTCCTGAGGCTGGATTGGTTCTCAAGGGAATTGATTAGTTCAGACAAGAGTGAGTTTTCAGAATTCCACGACATCCCTTAAATTTGGTCCCCCTTTACACATCCCCACTCCCCAATTGACCCCCTTTACATTGTTTTGATGCAGCACAAAACTCCTCCCCAGAATTCAAGCAGATGCTAGAGCCATGCTTCCGGTACAGCCTACAGAACTGTGATCTAAATAAAGCTATTTTCTTTGTAAATTATCCAGCCTCAGGTATTCCTTTAGTGTAACACAAAACAGACTAAGAAAATATATTAATTAGAGGCCAGGCGTGGTAGCTCACGCCTGTAATCCCAGCACTTTGGGAGGCTGAGGTGGGCAGATCATGAGGTCAGGAGATCGAGACCATCCTGGCTAACACGATGAAACCCTATCTCTACTAAAAATACAAAAAAAAAAAAAAATTAGCTGGGCGTGGTGGCGGGAATCTGTAGTCCCAGCTACTCAAGAGGCTGAGGCAGGAGAATGGCGTGAACCCGTGAGGCAGAGCTTGCAGTAAGCTGAGACTGCACCACTGCACTCCAGTCTGGGCAACAGAGCGAGACTCTGTTTCAAAAAAAAAAAAAAATATATATATATATATATATGTATGTATATTAGAATAGGTTTGCCAAAATTTGTCATCCATTGATGATTTTCTGGCAATGTGGAAATTCTAGCTTAGGCAACATATGGAGATGTATTTGGAAAGCCTGGGGCAATATTTACCTTCCCTGGATTTAATACTACATCAAACACTTAAAAAAATTTCACCAATACTTTGAGCATTTGAGTAGGAAGCCTCATTATTGGAATAATATAGAAGCTGAGCAATGTGAACTCACCTAATAGAAACCATTATATAATCTCAATATTATCATTATTAAGCCTGAACATACATCCAGTCATTAAATTCCATAATTTAAATTAACACCTCCACTGAGAAGGTATCCTAATATTTTTCAAACACAAAGTGTTCCTAATCCACATTAAAAGCCAGTGATACAGCTCATGGCTACGACTGAGTTGTGATTAATTTTTGTCACCAACTCCAGATCACAAAAAAGATAGGGTATTAACTTTAATTTCTCCTATATTGAAAACTGAGATAAGAGAATGTGAAAGACAGAGCAACATTTACAGTGTAAGTACAAAGACTGGTACATACATACACATATGCACATATATTTGGGCATGGGAATAGGAGGCTGGAAAAACTACTGCTTTTGCAGGCTCTTTCTAAGAGAAAACCATCCATGGTTAAGCAGGTCTAATAACCCAAATGGGTTTGAACCAAGCAGGGAAGATATTAAAATGGGATGATGCTAAATTATTATCAACTTATCAGAAACTTTTTAATAGATCAAGAAATAGTATGACATGAGCATCACAAAGGAATGCAATTTCTGAGGATGAAAAGTATTTTCTAAGAAAGACCAAAAAGCCCCCACACAAATTATCACATTATTAGGTACAAATCTACATTTTACCTCTCCTAAACCGCCAGTCCTCCCCTTGTTCATCCTGATAGTTTGACTGTTGCTTGGAAATCTGAAACACTTGATGCTGTAAACCGTTTCGATCACCCTCTGCTTTCGTAAGTTGTGCACGCAGTTCTTCTACCTAAACACATCGTCAAAAATCAAACATCAGTTTTCACAATCAGAAAAAGATCTACTTCAAATGGGCTATTGTAAACGCAAGTTGAATCCAGGTTAATCTCCTTCCAAGCATAGTGGAACGGTTTCCTGCTCCATTTCCTCATTCCTCTCATTTATTCCACAAAGAATAAATGCATGGTTTTTCCTTCTCTATGTCCATTGAGGCAAAGAATGTGATCGGATTTTTTTTTAATCACTTATTTTGTCCTCAGTCTACTCCATTACTATTAACCCAAATCAACTTCAATTAAGTATTATACGTTTTTATATTTTTCTATTTTCACCCATTTGCTTTCATGTGAACATGGTCTACTGGTTGTCAAATTCAAGATAAATGATCATGATTTAGCATATTTTGATATTAAAATAATGCTCAAAATAAGTATGTAATAGATGCTGTTGAATAAACTCTAAACTCCTTGAAGTCAGAAAGTGATTTATCTTTCTATCCTTAGACTGCCAAATTACCTAGCCCATAGCAGGTACTTCCAAATGACCATTAAACAAGTTAACAGTGACAAAAAGATTCAGCTAAAATCACAATGACAACCTAAACAAAGAAATATCTTGCTTCCATAACTGAAACTGGAGATTATAAGTCAGAGTTCCAAACAAATCAGAATGGAATTAAATACAAATATAAACTTCTAAAAAGGAAAGTTTGAACTCTGCCAAAATTAATTCCATGTGACCACTGGCTGCAGAACAAAGTCAGCGAATATTTTCAAAGATTTTGTAAAACAGGTGCTATCTTGTATTTTCAGCACCAATTGTCAAAATGTAATACTCCTTCTGAACATCTATAATGCTTGACATCTTTGCCTACCCCTAGCATATTCTGAAGGTGAGTTATATAACACACACTTCAAAACAGAAGGAAGTGTAATTGCAGTTTGTAATAAACACAGACAGAGAGGCAGTTAGAAACCCATATGCCCTTATTCAATGTATGTAAGATGATTATTTAAAGTTACTGAACTTTAAACATCAGAAGCACCAAACTCCCATTATGGGCTGATGGAATGCAAAATGTTATACTTAATAATTAAGCCTTATCGGCCAGGTGTGATGGCTCACACCTATAATCCCAGCACTTTGGGAGGCCGAGGCAGGGGATCACGAGGTCAGGAGATGGAGACCATCCTGACCAACATGGTGAAATCCTGTCTCTACTAAAAAAAACAAAACATTAGCCAGGTGTGGTGGCGCATGCCTATAATCCCAGCTACCGGGAGGCTGAGGCAGGAGAATCACTTGAGCCCGGGAGGCGGAGGTTGTGGTGAACCGAGATTGCGCCACTGCAGTCCAGCCTGGCAACAGAGTGAGACTGCGTCTCAAAAAAAATAAAATAAAATAAGCCTTATCTTTGGTTTAAAAGGGTCAAGCAGTATCTTGAAAACATGAATTAAAGACAATAATGTTATTCAAAGTAACATAAACATGCAAAGGTCTGTTTTATGTAGTTTACTTCTTCCTTTACTTCCCAATGCCTCCTGGAATAAAATTAAGCTCCTGGGAAAATTTTATCTTATACATTCAGTCTTACTTTTACACTGCTCATGCTAAGAGAGATAAGTAGTAAGTTGTAGCAGCAATCAGCAAGATACACCAACACAGTGGGGACTTTGGCTGATGTTTGTACTAGCTTTCTCTGAATTTCCCTGAAAGAATTTTATCTTTTGCTTAGTGTGCTAATATACATTCCTTAGGAACACATTTTTTTCTAGACCTAGTTTTTTTTTTTTTTTTTTCCTTTCACAAAGATGTTTAAATAGAGCTATTCAATCCTGATTTAATGTAAAAGTATATTATAATAACTTGCACAGACTTACCTGATGCAAAAGTGTTTCTCGGCTGCCTTCAGATTGATTCAATAACTTTCGAGATAGCTCCAATTCCTGTTCAAGCTAGAGTTTCAACAAAGGATAAATAAAAATGTCCAATGGAATAGAAGATAACTAAATTATTACGGGCACAGTTTAAAAGGAGAAAAGTGGAAAAGTTTTCAGAAGACATTTACAGCTAACATAAAAGAATAAATCTCTCACTATGAACATATATCAATACTTCCATTAAAATAACGTTAATCGTATAACATGAAGTGAACTAGACCAGGCCTCAGGAAGTCAGGATCTAGTATGTTTCATCTCAACTGTGAGTCAGTCCCAGTCTCTTCTCCTTAGGCCTCCGTTCTGTCATCTCTAAAATAAAAATTTTATATTAAACAGTCTCTGAGATCCCTTCCAGTTCTAAATCACTTAAATCTAAATTCTAAGGCAATTTTTTTCTTTAAATTAGAAAATGTAGTGTCAAATAAACTAAATTAGAATAAAAACGGCAGGGACCCAATAACTCAAAAGTTTCATCTAATTGGTGATTTCCTACATTCCTAATATTTCTAATATTCATAAGACATTCCTTAAATTTTTAAATGTCTAAATTCAGAATGAGACATTTAAAATTTCCTTAATGATACTGCCATGAGATAAATATCGATAAACAATGTGACCAGTTCAGGAGATCAAGACCACCCTGGCTAACATGGTGAAAACCCACTTCTAC